GACTTTACCATAGTTTTTAAAATATAGCTTCACCAGAATATAGAAAATGCATACCTAGAAAATATATTTCATATTTTAAAAACTACTATTTTAAATCAAGATTAAGATTTATATATTTTATCGATTTACAAAGTTCTTTTAAAATCCCAAATTTGGTAGAATATGTTACTTAGTAAAATTTTAATTAAATGCGAATCCTTATATATTATAGGCAGTGTGTTATAAACATACTTCCTTAGCTTCTCGTTTGGGAATCTAACTAACCATTCAATAGCCGTTGGTATAAATCGAAAATACCGTATAATGTATGAGAAACAAAACAATATAGTTTATCAAGTTTCAAATTATTGTACAAAAATTTGTGTTCATTTTGTTCTTTACGTCTTTACTCTAAATGATGTAGCTTATGGTTTACGAATTCTAATCAGAAAGAAGCAAACGTTTATACACTATTAAAATGAGTAATTTTATAATTTTGGAAATTTTACATGATTTCTTAATTTAGTTGTGCAGTTGGAAAAATAAAACATCTTGGAAAATTATAAAGTCGACACGTATTATTATGGTCACATTGCGATGAAACGAAATCTCTCACCTTCGAAATATCTATCAAATGAGATTCCATTTATTGTGAAGGACTGTGTTCGGTATTTGGCATCGTCAAATTATTAACAGTGACAATTAAGTAGATCTATAGTACAATGTCAAATTTCTGACATGCATGCTAAAAGAACAGATGGTTTTGTCAATCTTATTAAATATATGTTTACTTACAAGTTTTTTTTTTTTTTGTTACTTGCAAGCAGGGGTGAAATTATTATCCGGGATCCGAGATCCGATCCGTTATCCGTTCGGAATCGCTCCGAAAATTAGGATATCCGGGGAGACCGGATCCGGATAAGGATAGTAAAATTTATGATCCGTGAAAAGAGGATCCGGATCCGGATAACAAAATTTTAAGGTCCGGATATCCGGATCCGGATCCGGACGCATTAAATATATTAAAACCATATATATTATATATCTATTAAACTAATTTTATATAAATAAATATATAAAAATTGATTTTAGTTCTTTTTATAATAAATTATATTTATAATGAAAAATACCATTTAAAATATTAACTAATAATTTTTAAAAATATATTTTTATTTATTTATTAATTATTTTAATTATTTTTAATATTAATTTCAGATCCGGATATCCGCGGATATCCTGATTTTTGGAACGATTCCTAGAGCCCGGAT